AGTGGAATTACTACGCAAACAAAGTTCAGGATCTAAAAGTATTCATGCTTCAGGTTAGTACTTGTTTTATGGGGGGTTTGTTTTCTTCTTCCCCCTTAACTGCATTTATTCTTAGCATAAGAGGAAAAACAAACTTGAAAAGAGCAAAAGAAACGTATTTTAAGGCTTTTCAATCTGAGTGTAATACACCTTGCTATGTCAGTGTACTATCTCTTCACACTTAGATGCTGTGATTTGCCAAAGCCAAGTCCTGCCAGGAGAAATCTGTTTAATTTCATCCTGACAAACGGGCAGTAAGAGTTAGCCTGGAATTGGCAAAATCCATATATATTGCTTTAAGTGGTTTGTGCAAATTCAGTTTATGAAGATTATAGCTAAGAAGGGAGTTTAGTATGCCAGCTTTGCAACTGCAATACAAATGGCAGCTGGAACTGATATGTGAAACAATTACCTGTTGCATTTTACTTTTCAGTGGCATCAAACAAATATAACACAGCAAATTCACCTTTGTGATTAAAATTTAACTTGCAGTTCTCTGCTGACCTAGAATACAGCTAGATCCCTTTTGAGCAAATATTGCATTATCTCATATATTCTTTCCTAATAAGAAATTGAAATGGGTATAATTTTGGAGATATATAGGAAGGGTTAATTCTGCTGATTGAATTAATAGTTTACAATAGTTGTTTCATGTGGACCCAGTCTAGAGCTACTGAGTCTGGGTAGTTGTAGACCATGGACTGGTTAAATGCCAGGACTTCACTTTCCCATGTTCTTGCCTTAAGCAATGCTGCTTTCGTGGGAAGATACGAGATTTGTTAGATGGAGGCTATTTATCTACAGACAGGTTTGATTTTTGTGACAAATGTTTGTTCCAGTGCAAAAACCCCAGGCTGCTTCAAGTGTTCCGTTCCACTGGGTTCTTGTGAGCGCATCTGTGTTCACAGAATTTGGGTGATAGGTTCCCCAGCGCTGTCCTGTGATGCAACAGTCTTTGCTTCAGTGTTCTGTCCGCTTTAAGGGAACAACTTGTCAGCTCAGTAGAAAAAATACTCATGTACTTGTCTGCAGTTGGGTAAAAGCTTTCATAGAAAAATTTCTAGTTCTTTCCCATGTTTCTCTTTCCCCTCCTCACTCCTTTCCCCCTTTCCCAGAAGACAATTGACAGGCTTTTCCTTGTTTGTCAGTCTCTACCTTCATCTTTACCTGGATTATTTCCCACCAAAATTAAGAAAAGTCAACATGTATCAGGACTTGTTTTGGCAAGCGTTCATGCTGACATCAGGTAGTGTTGAGAAATAGACCTTGTAGATGTGCACGAGATCTCAGGTTCTTGTGGCTTAAAAAGGCACCTCGTAGGTGAACTCAGCTGGCGTATTCCCCTTGCTCGTGGAAAACGCAAAGTGAAGCATGCTTCCTCGAGCTTCCTCGGATGCAGTTCAGGGATTGCAGTGGAATGGCAGCACGCGTGCAGTCACTTGCTGGGTCTCACGTGGGAAGCGGCAGCTCTGCTTTATTGGCTGGCTTTACCCTAAAGAAGCTTTGCCACAGTTCAGGTGATACAGCACCTGTGTAAACGCAGGACAAAAACCAGACTGAATTGTGGTCTAAATGTGATCTAAATGGTTCTTTAATTCTGTGTCCATAGATTTGTCTTGTGGCAGCCTTGAAAGATGTGTCTGAGCTGTTTGTTGATTCTGAAGAAAAACAAAAGCGTGAAATACCAAGTGCCTTAGCTGCATATGGGATAAATTCCAGATTACAACTTAATTTGTGTTAAACATTCAGATATTAATGCTTCTATTATGAGAGAAATTGTTATTGTTAACAGAGCTTTATTTATAGTACTGTATCCTGGACCCTGGTTGACTGTCTTGGAAGAGGAAAGGAAGGAATTTTTATCTGTATTTATGGAACTCGTATTTGTAGTTCTGCGATTTTTCAGTAACTCTGCATCTGTATTACTTTTGCTTTGCTTACTTTGTAGATAATGCTGAGTGTGAAGAAAAAAATGCCAATGAAAATAAACAAAGTACAGAGGAAAATATTTCCAAAGCTTTACCTGTTAAACTACAAACACCCAAATCTTCACACAGAATACATCAATCTAGTAAAAAGCAAAATGAAATGTCTCCCTTCAGTAAACTCTATGAAAAACTGAAACATGAGATTAAAGTGAAAAAAGCTCTGCAAGAGGGAAATGTATCTCAACAAGCTGCAAAGGACGACAATAAGAGTGCTCTGCTAGAACCAGCTGCTCAAATTTCATCATCAAGTTGTGTTTATGATCTGGGAAGCCTGACTAAAGGAAAAGAAAGAGGCAGAAGTGAAAATATTGAAGAATGTAAAATAAAAACAAAGCAAGACATAATCAGTTCAGAATTTAACCGGATCTCAGCTGTAGGAAGCGCTACCAAGAAGAGTTTTACCCAAAGTCCTCGAACTTCTGTTTCAAAGGAGATGTCAAGAGATATCAGTGAAAGAAGTCACTTGCAGGATCAGAAGGAGCTGAGTACAGCAGGCAAATCTAAACATACTGAAGTTACGACCACACCCAGTAAGGAGAATGATGGAAATGCAGCATTTGCTCTGAAGCCGTGCTCTATAGAATGCTTGGGCTATGCAGATAAAATGAAAATACCCAGCCGTGCAATAGCAGTAGATAAACCAGCACAAACAGCTAACACAACAAGCATTTCTGAGGTAGATAAATATGTTCTGTCTACACCAACGCCCAGAAGGAAGAGTCCTCGGTCTCATTTCATATCGCCCACCAAAGAAACTAGTGGAATGAATCCTGTAAATACCGATACTCCAACAAGTCGACGACGTGTGTCATTGAAACGTAAGTCTTTTTCAGAAGTTTTAGCTGAAGCTCAACGGGAAGATTCAGTGTGCAGAAATGATAGCCTCAAACAACTGCCTTTGGTGGAAAATAAATGCTTAAAACAAAGACGGAATAGTAAACAGCATACACCAGGAAAACTGATAAAAGAAGAAGTGCTGAAAGAAATCTGTGATCAGGCAAACTGTGTTAACTCAAAAGAGGGACATTCTGAAACTCCTGCCTCTTCTTCTAATTCCAAGAGTCCCAGAAGAAATAACAGGCGAAGTAAAGAATTATCAAGCAAAAGCGTCTGTTCAGAGACAGTGCCTTCAGAAGAGTTAACATCGGAACTGTCATCTCCTGCTGGTCAGAAATCTGACTCTGGAAGAAAAAGGGGTAGGCCGAGGACCTCTGGACTGCTAACTGAAAAAGCATTGGAGACAAATGCTGTTCAAGAACATCACGGTAAGACTACAGACAGAAAAGACAGTGGAGCTAAAGAAGAGCTGGCCACAAAGGGCTATCATCAGAAACCAGAGCTGGAAGATGCCAGTGTTACAAGACCTCGTAGGTCGACATCAAAGAGAAGGTCTTCTGGAAGTGCTACTGGACTGAAAGACCATAAGGCTGTCTCGGAAACGAATATTTCTGGCCTGTTGGCTGGAGAAGAGTCAGGTAAATACGTTTAATCCCCTGCCTCATCGTTTTTATGTTTGAGAAATTCTTGTAGTGTTTTTATGAGAATTTTTCCACTTACATAAAATGTAGAACTCACTGCTGACATATTAGTTCTAAAATATTTATCATGTAGTTATATTTGACCATAAGAATACACAATAATATGCGTAAAAGTTTACTCAATTGGATCTGTTTCTCCTTAAGCTAAGTTACCTTCTGATATGTTTCCAACTTTAAAATGCATGAGTAAGCACTGTTTTCTATGCTGCCTAAAATGTTGACTTGGATTCTTAGATATACAAAATGTTTTCGATTGTTATTTTTAGGCAAGACGGAAAGGATATCTCAGAAGAGGAAAAGTGGCGATTTGTTACTTCAGCCTTTAGGAAAAAGAAAGAGAGTGTCTTTTGGTGGTCATCTGAGTCCAGAACTTTTTGATAAAAGTTTGCCTCCCAACTCACCCCTTAAAAGAGGTGCGATTCCTGCGAGGCTGAGCTTACCGTTTGGAAACTCGCCACGTGCAGTTCTGAAGAAGGCTCAGGGATTGAAGCACTTTGCAGTCCAGGTAAATGTTAAGGCTAATCAAGTTGTTAGACAATTAATGTGAACAGAATTTATAAATTCTAAGACTTCTAAAAATGAATTAAAAATTAGTAGTAAACCTTGTTAGATGTGTGTTGGGAAGTGGAAATTTTAATTGCAAATCAAAATGGTATTTGAAATCAGCAAACTTTAATCGGCATTTTTTTAAATTCTGCGTAGTGTTAGGTTAATGGTTGGACTGGATGATCTTAAAGGTCTTTTCCAACCTAAACGATTCTATGATTCTATGATTGTAGGAAAGGGCTCAGCTTACCCTTTATATCTACCTGTCTTTATAGAGGAGGTGTGTTTTTATTCACCTCACACTACTGCTCATTCTCATGCATACGTGGGAGTACATTTCTGTATGTTTGTGCTTAGCAGCAGTGCCTACAAGCTCCGCTTTACCATAAATAACAGAAAACAGCAGTAGGGCGTTGGCAGACTGTGCAAGCTGCTGCCACGTGGTTTGGTTAGAAGTTTGAAAATGTTTGCTGTTGATTTAAACTAGTTAAAGCATGTGTAGTGTACTTGAGGTGAACAAAAGTTTTGAATAAAGTAGAATAATAAATTCAGTTAATTTATTCAATTGAATTTGCATGTGTCTTTTGAGACTGTTTTGAAATTTAAAACTTGTTACAAGTTAGTTTTCAGAGAGTAACATTTAAGGCTTTTTCAAATGATCTGATGATATTTTATACTGTTGTGTGTACTTGTCAGAGATGTAGATGAGCATTTGTAGTTCAGCTATGTGCAGTAACATCTTTATGCATTTTTTTTTTTCCTACAAGGAACCTTCTGAACATTTGCAGAAAGAAAAAATGTCACCAAAAGGTTTCCCAACCCAGAGGTCCCCAGATGCCTCATCCCCTGCCTCTGGGAAGGCAACACCTAAACTTACTTTAGGCTCTCCAGCACCTTACACAAAAGGACGTTTCTCTATTTCTCACGTCCCGACACCGTTACCGATTGCAGAAGAGAAGGATGCTGTTGTGGAAGACGTGAATACAAAGGAGAAAAATGGTGCCCGAGTGAAAACACCTAAATCTTCTCGCATTAACCAAGATGATAAAACCTTTTTAACGGCTACACCCGACAAATTAACAAGAAGCGCACAACTTGCTTTGAAGGTCACTCCCATGAAGAGGAGAAGTGGGGCTGTAGCAGTTATCAATGCAAAAAGAAGAAGTGGTGCCTCTAGTGCCAATTTACTAGGTTTGTTTCAGCAGTTAATTTTTAATATTAATTTTAATGCTTTAAAATACAGGAGCAAAACTGAAGTAGGCCTATTGTTTCGTTATGCAGAGGCCACCCAGCGATTGGCGTGTCTTCTGATGGTTGTTGGACTTGTTGGAAACACCTGGCAATTGCAAAGTGTTACATTCTCTCCTACTTATAAAGCAAATTACTAAAGCATATATAAAACCATACTTAGAACACAAATCTTAATGTTCAGAAGTTCAAAAATGGTAGAATTAAGATTCTCTTTGCAAGGTTAGTTGCAGTAGTGATCCTTCAAGTTCAAATAGTACCGAACTAAATCAAATTGTATCAATTACATCAATTTTGATTTGAAAATGTGCACTTTATAGCAATGTAGCTTCAGTTTGTTTTCTTTGTGCCTTTCTTTATACACAGTTCACAATCTTTGCACATGGACTGGGCTGCACTTAACAGATATTTATATTTTTATATATGTATAAAAATATAACAGATATAATTAAAAAAATAGGATGATAACTGGGTGTTAATTTGATATTTTGAACATTTGAATTTGAATGTTGAACACTGGTTTGAAATGGTTTTGACAGCATTGGAAACACTATGATAGGGGAACTCTGATTCTTGAAATTTTTATCTTTGAAGAAATTTACAGATAAGGCATCTTTGTCATCTGTTTTCATAAATTAAATCAATTTGACTCTTTCAAAGTCAAATTTAAAGCTTCCTACCAACACCACCATTCACCCAGGAATTTTTATTATACTTTATTATCTTCATTTTTTTTATAGTGTCACTTTAAAAGTTTAAACAACATACTACATACAATGTCCCAGTGATGGTCTTGTCATTATTATTATTACATGATGAGATAAAATCACAGGCCTTCACAATACTTTGTGGTTAATACAGCTGAAAGTGGTATTAGTCTTTTAAAGAAATAAGTGGGTGGGGTTTTTTTTAGTGGCTTTGGTTGTTCCGTTCATTTTAATAGCACCAGAGTACTTCACAAATATTAATGATAAATCATTTTTCACCACTACTCTGTAATGTGTAAGTGGTTTTTAATATCAGTGCATCAGTTTCTTCTGTAATATGAAAAGAAAACCACAGTTCTTAAAAATTTTGGATATCTACTTTGTATCCAAAATAAAAATATCCTTTTCTTCAGGAGCGGCCTTCCCCTTTTTATCTCTACTTAAAAAAATAATAGTTTCTTTTATATGATCCCTGTCTTCTCATAGCCTATTTCTGAAGTAAACAAGGCACATGTCCTACCAACTTACAGCTTCATTTCTTACACAGCTGGAACTGATTCCCTGATTCCTCTGCTGTGTACGGAATGATGCTGTGATAAAGGTAACCTTGCTTTGGGAATTTTCGGAGTATGTTATAAGGAGAAGGTGATACAAGAAAAATTATGGAAAGTCTGTGTAGATCTAAATGCTGTAAGCAGTATAAATAAATAATTTCCTGACGATGAAATTCCTTGGGAAGGTGGTGCGAGAAAACCTGGATATGTTTCACTTAGAAGCCATTGCTCTGATGTTAAATCTCGAGTCCCACCAGGGAAAAGTTCAGGTGTAATAATGAATGAGCCTGAAATGCTCATGGCAAGTTTCTACTGGGAAAAATTATTTCCTTAGAAAAAGAGTGAGGATGGAATTGGGTCAGCATTCGGTTTTAGGGTCTAACATTACTTGACACTGAGTAAAGCTTTTTTTTGTTGTTGTTTTGTTGTAGAAATAGCCATACTGGGTACTCGGATGCTTTGTTAAACTTCAGCTGAAATTGGGTCTTCCCATTGAAAGCGTTTCACAGAGTGGTTTAGGTGGTGTCATGTGATACAACGACCACTTTCCTATGCCCAACTGCAGCAAATCCATTGGAATCATAAATAATTGTGAACTTCCATTTACACAGCTGAGAATTAAAGCAGTTATTTCTCTTTTGCTTTCTAGTTGCAAAATCTTGGGCAGAAGTAGTGAAATTAGGTGTTGCAAGACCACAATCAAAGGCTGTTAAAAAAAGTGTCCGAAAAGGAAGATCCCTAAAGAAGATAACCCAATCCCCAAAGGTATTCTTTTTCTTTTTTCATGTTTCTGGGTTGGTTTTTTTGGTTGTGTTTTTGTTTTTGCATAACCACAAAACAGCTTATAAGTATTTTGCTACAGAAGCTGGAAGCTTATGAGCTTTTAGTATGCTATTGAATGGGTGTCAATGTCTTTGTCACAGCATATAAGAAATATAGATTTTATATAAAAGAAATCTTTGTTTACTAACTATTTTTTGGGTTTTTTTTCTTTTTTTTTTTTTTTCCCCCCTCTGCAGACTCCAGAAAGAAAAATAAAAGGTCATTTTAGTACAGGTCATGCTGAGTCACCTGCTACAATAGTTGTAGGTAGAGCTTACTCCGCCACACTCAGAATGGCTGGACAGGTCCCTAAAGTGGTAAAAAATCCTATCTTGAAGCTAAACATGAACATGGACGAAAGCTTCACAGGTAAGTTTCTGAAGTCTGTTGTTCACTCTGCCAGCTGTGTAGTTTTGTCAAAGCATGTGCTCATTTCTCTGAATATAATTTGTAGGAATGACTGAAATGTTTCAAACTCCAGAAAATAAGAGTCGAAAAACATTACCTTTGGCTACTGGTCAGAAGACTGATTTTACACCAACATGTACTGCAGTGGAAATTTCTGAACTGCACACTCCTGAAGAATCTGGTATGTTTGTTATTTGAAAAGAAGGGAAATGTTTCGGTATATTTAGGGGTGGTGGTGGCTCTGCTACTTGAGGCGGTGAGTAGTCACAGCCTGGGCAGACTGGATGTATTGAGATGAAGCATCTGGCAACCCATAAAAGGAACCATTGATTTTTATCATGTATTAAAAGACATTTTTGTAGTTCCAGTTAATTTTTGAGTAGGTATTATTTTCTTATTTGTTCTACTTGGTATGAAACTTCAAAATGTTGAAGTATTGTTTCAGGCAAATCTTGTGCTGAAGCACGGCGCTTTCTTAATCAGTTGTCTGTGGATACATCTAAATCCAGTGACAAAGTTTCATGGCAGGGAGAAGTTATTGTGTAATCTTGCAGAAGTCTATTCAAATTTTTTTTTTTTTTTAAAGTGTCAGGTTGCAAAGATTTGTATTAAGATGATACTTTGTTGTGCATCTTTTGCTGAGGACTTGCATACCAGTCCTTGTGTCCCTGTATAACTCAGAATTCTTGAAATTAAAATTCTGTTTTCTTGAGAATTTAGCAAAACTGAACATCTACTGAAACACCAAGAAAAATCACAAATAAATCCTCCAATATTTAAAATAATAATACTAATAATAGTTGAAAAGCATTTTGGTTTATTTCAAATGTTGTGGAAGATAGGCTTAGGTACAACAAACCTTGTTAGAACTTCTGAAGGGAGTCCAGTAAGAAGTGTTTTCTTTGAAAAGAACAACTAGTAGAGTGATCTTCATCCACTTAAAGGTGTCTGCTAGCAGCTGTTATTTATCCTGTTATTTAGTGCTTTCCTTAAATCGGTGGGCAAGCAAGCCATTTATCTTACATTCCATACACATTGATCCTTTTGTATGTCATGAATGCTTTAGTTTCATAATTTAGGGAATATGGATTGAAAAAAGTAGTTTATTTCTTAATCCTGCTGGACCAGGAATTTGGAAGGACTTGAACATCTTATGATTAGGACTTGACAGGATAGGAACTACAAAGGCAAGTTATTGCTAGATCCTACAAGCCTTGATTAAAAACAACACCAGTAGACAAATGTACTTTATGGTTAGTTTGAAGATGAGGGTTGTGCTTTTAAACTGAACAGAAAGTTTTAAGATTGAGATTATAGTTGTAGTTAAAGATGAAGGACTCCTAGAGCTACCCTGTTCCTCCGGCCTGCAGTACTCTTACTTGTTACTGGCCTGCAGGTAGAGACTCGTTAACTGCAACTCTCTAAACCTGGTCATCCAACCAGTTCTTTATTCAGCCAGCTGGCTGTTCATCTAGCCTGTGATGTTCTTGTTTGGATACCAAAATACTGTGGGAGACAGTCTTGAAAACCTTGTTAAAGTCACAATAAATAACAGCCACTGCTCTCTTTTCATCCATAAATCTGTTCTTTTTGTTGTAGAAGGCAATCGGATTGGTCAGGTATGATTTTCCTCAAATAAATTAGTGCTGACTGTTCTGTTCCCAATCACCCCGTTCTTCCTGTGCCCAGAAGAGTGTTTCAAGAGGACCTGGTCCACTATTTTCCCAGAAACCAAAGTGAGGCTAGCCTTTCGATATGTAAGGCTTGGTTTTGAGTGTATTATTCTGGAAGTAGCATTTCTGGCATTATAAATTTGGTCTAACTTGTGTTTCAGGAAGAAAATGCAACTTCCTCTAAAATCTTCTGTGAATTGTTCTGACCAGACTGTTGTTCATAACCTTTCCTTTGTTTCAATTCTTTTTTACTAGTGGGAGGAATGATTGCTGCTTCTATTGAGCAACAGCATGGTTATGCTTGTTCTGATGATCATGCTTACTGTGCTAGGAAATAGTGAAGGAAAATAAATATGCCATGTTCTCTGGCACTAAACAGCCAGAGAAATTCACTTCACCTTTTTGCAAGCTTTCCTCTTGATTATCTTTTTCTGCTATGCATAATGAGCAGGACACAAAAGAATCCAGGAACTCCAAAAGTCAATGCCTCTGCAGGCACCATAATCAATATCTGTGAAAAGTGTCTTTCCAAGTACAAGCCATGTGCAAACTGAGTGTAGCTGGGTGATGTTATTGCGGGTCCTCTCCATTATTTTTCAATGGTCTTGGGAGTCTGGAGAGGTCACAGTCATCTGGAAGCTGGCAAATGTCCCAGTTTTCACCAACTTTCTTACCCAATTTGGGGTAAGAAGGAAGAGCCTGGCAATTACAGGCCTGGCAGTCTCACTTCAGTGCCTGGTAAAATTATGGAGAAGGTTATTCTGGGAGTTACTGAAAAACACTTGAGACAATGCAGTCATTGGTCATAGCCAGCACAGGTTCACGAGGGGAAAGTCCTGCTTAAACAACTTCATTTCCTTTTATGACGGGGTTACCCGTCTAGTTGACGGTCAAGTAAGTAAACTTACTACATTAAGTAAGTTTGCCGATGATACTAAACTGCGACTAGCTGTGGACTCCCTTGAGGGTAGAGAGACTTTACAGAGAGATCTGCATAGATGAGAGAGCTGGGCAATGGCCAAATGTATGAAATTGAAAAAGAGCAAGTGTTGGATTCCCTACCTGGGACAGGCTAATCCTGGTTATCCATGCAAACTGGGGGACAAGAGGCTGGAGACCAGCCCTGTGGAAAGAGATCTGCGGGTTTGGGTTGATGGCAAGTTGAATGTGAGTCAACAGAGTGCCCTGGCAGCCAAAGGGGCCAGTCGTGTCCTGGGGTGCATCCAGCCAAGAATAGCTAGCTGGTCGAGGGGGGCAATTGTCCCACTCTACACTGCACTGGTGTGGCCCCACCTCGAGCACTGCGTGCAGTCTTGGGTGCCTCAGTAGAAGGACATGAAACTATTAGAGTCTGTCTGGAGGAGGGCAACCAAAATAGTGAAAATTCTCGAGGGCAAGACTTAACGAGGAGCGGCTGAGGTCACTTGGCTTGTTCACCTTGGAGAAGAGAAGGCTGAGGGGTGACCTCATGGCAGCCTACGCCTTCCTCACGGGGAGCAGCGGAGGGGGAGGTGCTGATCTCTCCTTGGTGAGCAGTGATAGAACACGAGGAAATGGAATAGGGCTACATCAGGAGAAGTTCAGATTGGACATTAGGAAAAGATTCTTCACTGAGAGGGTGGTCGGTCCCTGCAACAGGCTCCCCAGGGAAGTGGTCACAGCACCAAGCCTGTCAGAGTTCAAGGAGTGTGTGGGTGAGCGTAAGGAGCTCTTAGTCATATGGTTTAGTTTTAGGTACTCCTGCGAGGAGCAGGCAGTTGGACTCTGATCCTTATGGGTCCCTTCCAACCTGAGACAGTCTATGATTCCATGATATAAATTTTACAAAAATCAGTGTAATTTTTTTTCTTCCTTGATGTTGGAAAGGTCAAATGTATGTTCTTTAATGTGAAAATTTCTGATCTATGTCTGGTATTGCTTCAAAACACAAAGGAAATTGTGATCAAAAACTTGAACCACTAGAAATTTTAGGGACAGCAGAAAAGATTAATTTTTATACCAGACTAAATAAGGAAAAATAGTAAAGTTGTTTTTATAGTCAGTTTTTTAAATGTAGATTGTACCTTGTAGACACCAGTTACCAAATCAATTGTTGATGCACATTTTTGGATTTTGGTTTGTAGAAGTCTCTGGCTGTTTGAATCCATTTTACTTAGTTATATAGCATTTAGAATGCTTGGACTTTTGCTTAATTCTTTTTCCAAATTGCATAAATCTACTACTTATTTCAGGAGAGATGCTGGTGTCGCCATTAAATAGTTCAGATGCTTCAGAACAGAAACAAGAAAGTCCAGGATTTTGCCACTTTCTGAGAGAGAAGGAGTCTCTAAGGTCTATGTTTGATGCAATATCCACAAAAACTCCTGAAAAAGGAAGAGCCATGCTGGAAGAAAATATTAGTGTGGATAGTCTGTCAATAATTCCAGAAAAACAAGCATCTCGGGTGAAATCAGGAAGTAAAAGGAGGACTCCAAAGCAGAAGTTGGAGCCAGTTGAGGTCATGTCAGGCATCAAGCAGCTTTTAAGGACCCCTGAACAAAGGGCAGAACCAGTAGAAGCCTTATCAGGCATCAAGCAGCTCATGAAGACGCCGAAGCAGAAGTCGGAGCCTGTAGAGGCTTTGTCGGGCATCAAGCAGCTCATGAAGACCCCAAAGCAGCAGTCAGAGCCTGTGGAGGCTTTGTCAGGCATCAAGCGGCTCATGAAGACCCCAAGGCAGAAGTCGGAGGCTGTAGAGGCCTTGTCAGGAATCAAGCGGCTCATGAAGACCCCAAAGCAGAAGTCGGAGCCTGTAGAGGCTTTGTCGGGTGTCAAGCAGCTCATGAAGACCCCGAAGCAGAAGTCAGAGCCTGTGGAGGCCTTGTCAGGCATCAAACAGCTCATGAAGACCCCAAAGCAGAAGTCGGAGCCTGTAGAGGCCTTGTCTGGCATCAAGCAGCTCCTGAAGACACCAGAGCAAAAGTTGGAGCCAGCTGAGGTCCTATCAGGCATCAAGCGGCTCATGAGGACTCCACAGGAGAAGCCAGAACCAGTTGAGGTCCTGTCAGGCATCAAGCAGCTCTTGAAGACCCCACAGCAGAAGCCAGAACCAGTTGAGGTCCTGTCAGGCATCAAGCAGCTCTTGAGGACCCCACAGCAAGAGTTGGAACCTAGTACAGATGAAATTGCCTTTGAAAGATTGCTGAAGACTCCAGTACAAAAAAAGGAAGCAGTAAAAGATGTGGCAGGTGTTACTTTAATCAAGAAAACTCCAAAGATGAAATATCAACCAGTAGAAGACATGATTGGGGTCAGCCGTATTTTCAAGACACCAAAGGAAAAAGTTGAACCCATAGAAGATATGTTTGGTATTAGTAGACTAGTGAAGACTCCGAGAGAGAAGTGTCAACCAGTTGATGATTTTGTGGGTCTGCAAAGGCTGATGGCAGAACCCAGGCAGAAATGTTCTGATTTTGAAGTGGACTATGTTGGACTTACGGAAATGTTTGATATACCAGAGGAAATTAAGGTAAAATACTTTCTTTAGTTTTTGGAAGGAATGTATTTAGACTTTAAAGCCTGTGGTTGAAATGAATTCTTAGTCCTCCTAGTATGATATCTTGTATGTTACAGCGCTTCAAATATGTCATGCCCGTAACCTCTGGAGGAAAAGATACCTTCTAGAAAAGCACCTCGTGTTGATTTGAAAACTGTAAAGATGGCAGTCTTTCTTCCTTGGTAGCTTTGTCCAGGTGAATGCCCCCCTGTTAGAAGACACAGCTTACTACAAATTTGGATCTGAGCACTTTTTTTTCTTTTTCCTGGTCATTTTTTCCTGTTATGTTTAAAGCACCCTTTAAATTGCTTCCAAACTGTAATCAAATTGTTTCTCAGCCTTCCTTTTCATAAGCAAGACGTCTTGGGTTTTTTGTTTTGTACAGCTGCTTCATACCCTATAGATTAAATTTTAAGCTCTCTTTTTCTTTGCACATCCAAAAGTGTTGAGCATTTGACAAAACATGTTACCATGTGATCAGTTGATTGCTCACTATGCCCCGAAGTCTTTCATTCATTGCTTCCTGAATGGATGCCGATTTTATAGAGGTGGCTTTCCCACTGTACGTTTGTCTGTGTTAATACGTATTTTCTTTGAAGGAACCCTGTCTAAGTAGTTACTGAGGTTCCTCTGGGTTACCATTCTGACCTTATAATTCACAGCTTCATCACTCTTGTCATTTGTGAATTTTATTAGTATTGATTTTTATGTTCATTCCCAGATCCATAGGTAAAATGTCAAGTATCGCTGGGCTTAGTGGTCATCGGTGTAGAACTACAATAAAACACTACAAAACACTCAAATGATTCGGCTTCAATACCCCAAATTTCTTTTGAGCACTCATTTAGATACTTTTCAGCCAATCTAATTAATACTTTTTTAACTATGTAGTGTTTGTTATCTTGCATTTTAAAAAAATGCTACACTAGCTCAGATGGCAAGTATTAAGTTTAATATATTTGTGTGCAGATATCAAATATATGGATGCAGTTACAAAACTAAGTTGATTTCATTTTTAGAGAAAAGTATTTGACAAGACTTTTTTCATCTATTACTATATATTAATTTTGTATTTGTTGGCTCCATTATTTCTTGTCCTGTCAGACATGCGTTTATTGATTATCGTTTATTCCCTTAGGTCAGATCAGTAAACGCTGTGGATTCTAAGCAAGGAGATACTGTGCCTCCTTGTACTAATTCCAGTCATAAATACGGTAAGTACAAATACTTTTGCTTTAACTAGAGGAATAATGACTACACAAGGTAATATATGTTATTATGAAGTTTTAACATATGTTTTAAAAAATCAAAAACACACAGTGTGAAGCGTGTGTAGCTCATGGAATTTGTGCAGTCATTCCTAATGAACACCAGGTGCTGGAATGCTGTTGGTGTAGAAGTAACAGTGTAGTAGTTTGTTGGTGTGGTAACACTGGCATCTCCAAACATACCAGTGTAAGAAACGTGATGTTAAGGTCTCCACTTAAAATTATCTTTCTTTGCAAAGGCTTTCCAGAGCATAGCTTAAACCTGTGAATGCTACCTACCAAATAAACCAAACATCTTTGGTCAGAAACCTGGCCTTTAATTTAGGAGTTGGTTAAAATCATTGTTTGTTTGTTTGTTTGTTTATTTTCAAATGAAGAATATTGTGTGATTTGTTTGAGCAAGATGACTCTGTTAGGAAAATTGAAACTCACAGCTACTTTGATCAGTCATAGTAACATATAACTTTTATTTATTCTCTTTTCTATGTAAAAAACTGTGAATGGGGGGAAAACAACTGGTTTAGAAGACAAAGGAAATATTTCACAAGGTGAAGATTCTCAACAGAAGGAATCAACTAGCGAAGACCAGTCTACCCAGAGACCAACAAGGGGCAGATCACGGAAGACAGTACATACTGCTTCAGCAAAGCAGTGTGAAAAGGATTTGAATCTAAAAGAATTGCAAGGTCCGGGAAAAAAGAATACCCAAGAGGAGATGGGAGAGATCAGTATTTCAAATCTAGTAGCTAAAAACAAAGGAAGAGGAAGGAGAGCAAACCGTTGCATACAAGAAGTTGTTTCAGAGAACCCTGATCAGGAAAAAGTTGGAACTGTTTCGTTTGTGGAACCTCATGGAGCTACTCAAAGACCAGGAAGAGGTAAAAGGAAAGAACCAACGGAGTTAAAACATCCAAGTGATAATCTTGAGTCTTGTGGCAAAGATCCTTCAGTTCTACAGAAAGAACCTGCAAATATGAAACAGACTTTGCAGGAGTGTGGCATCAGTGTCATACTAGAAACTGAAGGTGATCCAACCATAAAGACAGTAAGTGTATCTGGTAGCATTCAAAATGAAAATTGTCAACTACAAACAGGTTTAGAAAAAACTGAAAACAAATCTAATGAAGCTGGTGTAGAAGACAGTGAAGAAATGCTTCTGTCACCTGGGAGGAGGTCTAGAGGAGTAAGAAAAGTAGAAAACACAGAACCACTGATTCCACCTAAAAGAGGAAGAAGAGTTAGAAATGGCCAAGTTAAACAAGCTGCTTCAGAGGACCTTCATGGGACAACGAGGAAGCTGCGCAAAGACGCATCAGCAGAGACGGTACAAAGAGATGAACGGACTTTTGACAAAGATAATGAGATTGCCACAGCAGAAGAATCTGAAAATGGAGCTAAACTTGAAATAAAGATAACAGAGAAAACAGTTAAGTCTTTAAGAAGTGGTAGAAAGCAGTCAACTGAAGGAAATGCAGACATTTGCGGGATGGCACTTGCAAATATACAAAACATTCTGAAAACTGAGGAAACTTCAGCTGAAACTGATACTGAAACACAATCACACATGAAAAATGAGATTAAAGTATCTCAGGGAGATGAAACAGAAAATGCTCAGGAAAATACAACAGAGACCTCTCAAAGATTAAAGGCAGAGTCACCTTCTGGAGAGACAAACAAAATGCCGGTTACTGCTGTGAACTTGGAAGCAAACAGAAGTGCAGTACGAGAAACAAACAGAACTAGAAACAGGAGAGGCAGAAATGACTCTTTGGAGAAAAAGACTGATGAATTTGCTGAAGATGTAAAGAACTTAGAACTAATTACTCCCAAATTTAAGTCAGAAACAGAAATGGATGAATCTTCTCTCAAAGATTCTTTGAGCTCTGTTTGTGTCAAGAACACATACCAAATCACGAAGGACCAGGACAACCCAGCTGGCACATCAATACCTGCTGCAAACAGTGACAGCCTTGCTCATTGCCGTCAAAAGCGGACAAGAAATGAACAGGGAATAGTGAAACCAAAGCAAACTGAAATCCTGCAAGAGAATCAAGCGCAAAACAACGGAACTGCATGTAGAAGAGGTAGAGGTAGAAAAGTCAGTTTTGAACTTGAAGAAGCCAGTTCCAAAGCGGTTGGAGGAAAAAATAGTTCACCTGGGGATGACGAAGGAATGACTTACAAAGATGGTCAACATGAGACTTCAGAAAATCCCGCCTCACAAGTAAGGAGGAGCAGAAGAAAGCAAGTTGATTCCATGCCACAAATAGCTTGTTCTACCTTTACGGAAAAACAGACATTAATTGCAGTTCATAGTAAAGATGAGGCTTTTGTAAAGGAGCAAGATTCAGCTTTGGAAGCTACTCCCTCTTCAACAGAAGACAATCCACCGAGACGAGGGAAAAGACGAGACGTTGCTGCAGCATCACAGACATCTAGATCTCTTTCTATCAGAAAAAGACGTGGGTTGCTAGAAGGTGGTGATGAAAAGATGACTGTGAGAGAAGATCAAAATCCAGCTTTGGGAAATAAAACTTTGCAAGCAAAAGCAAATGCATCAGCAAGGGACAAAAGGAAAAAGATTGATCTAGCAGCAGAGGCAAAAAGTTCATCTTCTCTCCAGGGAAAATGTGGCTTGTCAGAAACTGATGATAAAGAGGAGAGTACTAATGAAGAACAAAATACGCCTTTGGAAACAGTGTCCTGTGCAAAAGAAAAGCCATTAGGAAGGGGCAGAAGGAAAGAAACTGCTCTGGCATCACGCACAACTGATTACATTTCTCTTAGAGGAAAACGCGGTTTGCCAGCAAATAACGGTAGAGAAGAAGCTCCTAAAGAAGATCAAAATGTTCCATTAAAAACTTCTGATTCATCTGTAAAAGAAAATCAGCTCAGAAAAGGCAGAAGGAAAGAAACTGCCCTCTTGTTAGAAGCCACGAGTTCTATTCAGGGAAAACAGGTCTTATCAAAAGAAAGTGGTAGAAAGAATGATTGTGGGGAAGCAAAAAAGCTGATTGTGGAAAATTCTACTTCCCAAGAAAAAATGGGCCTGTCAAAAGGGAACTCGAGGCAAACAAGCCCTTCACTGGCTGTTAGTTCTACCTCACTTCAAGGTTTGCCAGAAGATGGTAAGAATGAAACTCCTGAAGAACAACAGAGTGTACTTTTGGAAGTAGCTCCGTCTGCAAAAGAAAATCCATCAAGAGTGGGCAGAAAGAAAACAATTTCTTCCAAATCTGAAGAAACTAGTTCCACTTCAATCAGGGAAAAACCTGGCTTGCCGAAAGATAGAGGTCAAAAGAGGATTCTTAAAGAAGGTGAAGATAGATCTCTAGAAAATAATTCTTCCCAGGAAAAAACAAGGCAATTGAGGAATAAAAGGAAAAAGGAGGAATTCACATCAGAGGCAGCAACTTCTATCCATAAAAACATTGACTTGCCGGAAAATGGTAACACTTCGGAAACTCAAAATGCGTGTTTGACATCCACTGGTTCTGAAAAAAATAATCGTTCTGGAAAAGAGAAAGGCATTAACCCTACACAACAGGCAACTTCCACTTCTCGCAGAAGAAAATGTCAGTTGCCAGCAGATGACTTAGCGTCCAAAAAACTGAAAGCAGGTGAGGCAAGGATTTGCTTTCTATTTTCTAAGTATAACTAAGTTATTTATAGATATAACGTGTGCAAAATTCTAGGATTACTGTGGGCTGCCATGCTTTACTATAGAGAGTAGGTCTTCAATATAGCAAGAAGACTTCAGTAGGTAGGGCCTGTTACCTTATATATAAACAAGATGCTTTTCCAAAGTAGAAGGGATCGGTTTTACGGGATATAACATGTATTCGTCCTCTGTTGGGGTATTCACATGTCTTCATGCTCTTCTATAATACGTTCTCTCTCGATCCATAACAATAAATTGTAGTTTAGAGTAAATACAGCAACTAACTTGCATGCAGAAGGTGGTAATGACAGAACATGATAATAACAAGTTTGTAGCACCCATTGTTCATCTTCTTTTCTCCTAAATACCATCTAAGCTTCTGCTTTTATATCTCTGGGGTTTGGAGGACCTTTACTAGTCATCAACTGGTTTTTGAAGTTGATGCTAGAAGGTTTTGAAGCTGTATTTGAGCTAAAAAGACAGCAAAAGTTTCATGCATCTCCTATTTCTTCCTTTACTGTTTTGCTTTCCCAAAGCCAATAGAACTTCTGCTGCAGACATCTGAAATATTCCCTGGAATTTTCAGCTTGATGTGATGTAACTTAAAAACTACCGTGATGCAATTAGAAAATATTATCAAATAAATGTATGCAAATGGAAATAACAATGAATCTTTAGAACTACATATTGAGGAATTTCCTGCCAAATTGTGTTAAAAACCTTATAGTGATTTGACCATGCCCTTTGTTTCGTTTCTCTTGGTCTAAAATTCCATGCGCTTATCCTCATATAACATGTACGTCTCTTTTGCCATGTATCCGTTACTGAGTTTTCTTGTGTTTCCCTTTACACACTTGCTAGTTCCTGCTTCCTGATACTGCAGTATGTACTTGCCAAATGATCGAGCTGTTCTGATGCTTTACTGCCTGCCTGGATTTTCTGTTCCGGGGAGGTCATCTTTCCCCATGTGGGTTTTAGTGGCAGTTTCTATGTCTGGTGCTTGGGTTGATGCTTATCTCTGAGCAGCTTAACTTTTCTGTGCTACCTAGTTACTTACGTAGGTGTCCAGTCTTTTCTTTACAATTAAACGCCTGACTTCCCAGCTTTATCTGGATCATAAAACAGTTACTATATATTCATTTTTGCAGGACTACTTCTTTGGTGTTGGATATGTTTTAGTTTTACATACCAGTAGAAGGAATTTTCGCTAAAATGGTAGCTAATTGGTTTCGGTGCTCTCATTAATGTTAACCTACTTTCAGAAATAGCTGTAAGTCCTCAGGGATCTATCTTAAAGGATATTGGATGTGCAGAAGGTATAGGGTTTGTAACTGGTTTGTTGAATTCATAGCTGTAATCTTTGGAATGTAGTCATTGGGGACGTTTTCTTTAAAAACAATGTAACTGAAGATTGAATTTTGTATAAAATGTTTGATTTATGATACAAACTGACAGTTAATTGTTTTGTGTACAAATAGAGAATGATGAAAATAGATCGCTACAAAAAGGAAAAAGAAACAAAGCTAAAGAAGAACTCGGCAAAGAGGATGTAAGGGCTACTCGGACTGCTGGAGGGACGGACAGGAAGACAAGATCAAGCACAAGAACAAGTGCAAGAACAAGAAAATAGTCTTAACAGTCACAGAACTAGTTTTTAAATCAATTCAGTAATTGAAATTGCAGGTTTTAATGTGAATTGATTTGCACTCAGATTTTAAGCTCAGATTTTGTAAAGCGATCACGGAATTATATTATCAAAATATATTTCTTAACTGTTTGCAGATACAGCATAGATATTTGTTTGAATAGATTTGTCTATGTGTAGTGGTTCCTAAACCATGGGGTGCTTGTGCAAAACTGCAAACATAAAAATGAATCTTTTTGTAAGAGTATTTATCCCTCTTTCTCTGTTGATCAGTACAGCAGTCAGGAAGCCATATGATTTTACTGCCAGTTTAATTGTAAGCTATTTTCTGCTTAAATTTTTGTGTGCTTAATTCATATTTTTTCATTCCAGTTCTGTAAATATTCTTTAAAAAACTATAGATGTATTAGCAGAACTATGATGCTGAAATTTTGATATTTTTTTTTAAAAAAAAAACCTTTAAGTTCATTGTATTGGAAAGCAGAGATTTGTAAGTCATTAAATTTGTAAACAATTTGGGACCTGTGTGTTTTGTGTTCTTAAGAACAGTTAAGAATGTGTAATTAATACTGTCCTCTTACAAACGTATTTCAAAGATTCCTCCTTCCTAGCCACAGGGCGTGTTTTTGAAAGCGTACTGCGGGTCTTCTGCAGCGCAGATGGGTCTCTTGTAAAGGCGGCCGCACTGTGCAGCACTTCCGTGTGTAGGTGAGCGTTGGTGAGAGAGACAAGCGTGGTGAGTGTGTGAAGTTGTGATGTTGCTCCTTGAGAGTGGCAAATAATGTGGAGTAGCTGGTGTGGTTTGGAGACCAGCGTCTGCAGTGTATGGGTAATACCAGCGCCCATTTGCCTTCAAGGCTGGTGGATTCCTGCTACTCTATGAAATGCAGAAAAGGAGAAAATTCATCCCAGGCACCTAAAATCTGTCCAGTTTTAAGGCCAGAGTTAAAAGTTACATTTTTATGGAGCCCATAAGGAGTCATAGACATTTTTATGGAGGGACAGTTGGATGCTGTGTTTGGATGTTCATGTTAGAGAGCTTTTTGGGAATGATAACGGCCCTTTCTTCAGGTGAGTTCTTGTTTGTGAAGTCTGTGGTTCTCTTTCTTCAAAATCCAAAATTGTCAGATTAAGTAAGAAGTGTGTTGGATGCTGTCCAGGTGTTCAGAGCTCAGATATGTTATGATGTTAAGATTTTTTTTTTTTTTTTTTGGTTAACTTAGGTGTGGGGGTTTTTTTGTGTGTGGAATATGCTGTGTCCATATCCCTGGTTTTTTTTAAATGCTTTGGGCATTTTATCATGTTACAATGCACTTAGTTTTCCTATACTTCAATTCTAGTGTGTAGATTTTAAGTATAAAATGCTGTAGATCTGGTCGTATTTTCAAATTAACTCTGTTGCTTCCTGCATGTGTTTGCTCTACCATAGCGATATGCTTTCGACTGACCAGGACCAGTGGATGGTCTGTTCCTCTTGAAATAGCAGCACCCGCAAGCCTTTTTTGCGATTAGAGTCAGCGCTTGGTGATGGTTATTGCTCTAGGATTGAGGCATCTTTTCTCCAGCTTTGATTTCAGCCTTCCAGGTGTGAGGAACATCTTTACGCAAAATGTTTCATCGGTCTGTGGCTCAGGATTTGTGATCTTCCTGGCTTTCAGGTCATGCAGCTTCATGCATCTTGTCAGAGCAACAACTGAAGCAGTAGGTCTGGACCGTTACTCTCAAAGAGTTTTTCAGAATCGTACGTGTTCTACAAGATCTATATTTCTGTTAAGTCCCAGCAAGCTGAGCAACTTCTCCAGTTTGCTCTCACCCTACAAAAGGGTGGCCTTTTTCTTCTCATGCTTGGTTCATGGCTCGAAGTCTAACTGCAAAACAGACTCCAGACCTCCACATTTGTGAACCTGTTGCTTTATCAGCCCCTACTGGCTGCTTCCTAGAAGTATCCCGTGTTCAGAGAAGCCCAGAGACTGTGACCATCAACTGATTCACAGAAGGGAAACGGGACAAAGTAACTCAGCATTTGTAACCCCTTGAAGTTAATGTGTAGGGAGCGGATCACTTTGTCACAACCCCGCTACCACTATGGTGCACACTATGGGGTTAAAAAAACCTGCAACACCTAAGTGTTGCAGGCAACTGCTGTCGTTTTAAATCCCTAAGCTATGCTATTATTTGAAAATTGTGCTAAAAGGAAGATTTTTATTGTTAGCGTTGATGTTGTATCATTTCTTACCCTGTTTTCCCTAGCATCTGACAGTCTAATGGAAAAGAGGGTCATTCTTGTCTACTAGCTGAATCTTTTGCAGAAGATGGCAAAGATCTCAGCAAAGAACAAAGGGAAGAATTAGCGATGCACAATAACAAATGACAACGCGCAGAGAAAATGAAATGCTGAACATGATGTCAAGGTAAATGGGTTGGAGAGCACTGCTGTGCTATGCTTACGTACGTGCCGTTGTATTAATCTATGTATCTTACATTGCAGAGGATATTTCTGTTTGGAGTACTCTTTTCCTTGGTGTTCAGCTCCTCAAGCAATCATTTATGCACTTGTGGTATCCTGGTCTCTATTTGATCCACCTGAATGAAGGTTTCTGCTCAGAACTTGGCGTTTCTGCTCAGCTGCTGTGCAGCTTTCACATTTACATTTCACTGAGCCATAAGGAGCTTTTCCTACTGCGTGTCCTGATTGCATAAATACAGTCAAGCTCTCCTTATTTTGGCTTGGTAGCCTTCGATATGAGATGTGGATATAAAGAGGAAATACGACAATGCTTTAAACTCTGGAGGCTTTTGATGTAAGTACCCCTCTTCCAGGTGAGCCCCACAGGCTTGCTGGTTTTTGAGCTCACATCTGTACATTTTCTCCTTTGTTCTCACAGTTGTATAAGAGAAGCAAGTGCCTGTAAGTGGCTGTGCCTCTTATCTTTTCAGTCTTTTATATCATTCTGTAGTTATTCAAGGCAGGAATTTCTGGCCTAATGATAAATCAAAGTCTTAAGGCAGAGGTCAAGACTGTTTTTCCAGAACAACGGAAAACAGTGCTGAAGGCTATTGCTCTGTGAGAAAACGCTCCGTTTTTAATTGCATAATGTGCAGTTGTTTCTAAAAATTATAATGGGTCACACCATCTTCTCTAATTGAGATCGTAAACGTTCAGCAGTGAAGCATCCTCCACGCCAACGGAGAACTAAGCCTTGTGCAGGCACGTTGAGGTGCGCTGGCAGAGGAAGGATGCTGGGGAAGTTCCCACCGCTGCCATGAAGTAGTTGCGTTGTTTTTCATTTCAGCTCTGCTGCTACAGCGGTAAACCACGGCACGCTGGCAACCTGGGCTGGTGAGCTACTGCATAGAATTCTGAATATCAAGGTATCTATTGCATATTTAGCAAGGCCTGTTGTGACAGGACAAGGAGTAATGGATTTAAACTAAAGAAGAATAGGTTTAGACTGGATATAAGGAAGAAATTTTTTACAATGAGGGTGGTGAGGCACTGGCACAGGTTGCCCAGAGAGGTAGCAGAGGCCCCATCCCTGGAAACATGGGACGCAGTCACAGGCCTTATGAGGAGCGGCTGAGGGAGCTGGGGGTGTTTAATGTGGAGAAGAGGAGGCTGAGGGGAGACCTGATCGCTCTCTACAACTCCCTGAAAGGAGGGGGCAGGGAGGTGGGTGTTGGTCTCTTCTCCCATGTAGTTAGTGATAGGACGAAAGGAAATGGGCTCAAGCTGCACCAGGGGAGGTTTAGGCTGGAAATTAGGAGAAATTGCTTCACCAGGGGAGGTTTAGGCTGGAAATTAGGAGAAATTGCTTCACGGAAAGGGTGGTCAAGCATTGGAACAGGCTGCCCAGAGAGGTGGTGGAGTCCCCATCCCTGGAAGTGTTCAAAAAACAGGCAGAGGTGGCACCTGGGGACATGGTTTAGTCTAGTCTACCCTTAACTGGGTTTAGTGTGGACTTGGTAGTGTAGGTTAATGGTTGGACTGGATGATCTTAAAGGTCTTTTCCAACCTAAATGATTCTATGATTCTAACATCCCAGGCCAGGTTGGATGGGGCTCTGAGCACCCTGCTCTGGTTAAAGCTGTCCCTGCTCACTGCAGGGGTTGGGCTGGACGGCCTCTAAAGGTCCCTTCCAACCCAAAGCATTCCATGATGCTATATTCAGTGTAAAAACAAGCTGTGATTCGTTAGAGACAGATGCCTGAGCAGCTTTGGTACTCTGATGGGTTAAAGCATAGAGTACTTGAGAGTGTTTTGCGATTTACGTGCCAGTTCTTGAATCTGAGCTGCAAATAGGATATAAGGATGTGTTGGCCTTTTTGTGCAGCATTGTGCATAGCGAATAGGTTGTCAGCGAGATGAGCAGACCAGCCTCTTCACTGAGTGGCCTTACAGGATATGCAAAAAAGACATCATACATAAACCTGCATATGGAGGTACGTCCAGTGCACGGGAAGATAAAGACCGGAAACTTTCCAAAGCAATAGATGCTTCACGGCAATGTCAGAATATGTTCAGTCTCGACTGTATTTTCATCTAAGTCTGCATTGGCACTCAACTCTTCAGACAGGTAGACAAGAAATGGCTATACTGCTCTTGGTTAGCTACAACTACTGGATTTGATGTTTCCTTTCAGAAGGAACTTGTAATCAGCTCCCCATTATTGGGGCGATGGAATTTGAGGGTATTTTAGGTAACGGAAAAAAATGAGGTAGTTTGGACATTGAAGCCTGCTTAGTCAGAGCTGGCTCTAGCAGATCCCTTCGGAGGACTGTATCTCCCAGCGCTTTTTAGGTGGTGCTCAGAGCTGAGCTGGCTCTCTGCGTTCATTCTCCAGTCTGCAGACTTACAATCAGAAGTTTTAAGTGTTGTGACGAGACATATCTGACTGATTCAGCTG